CACCCCCACTCCTATCCAAACACAATTCTTTTAAGGACACTCTTCAAATCATTTAACAATTCCCAAAGGGAACCCAGGAGTCTCTTAAAGTGTCTTTCTAAATTAAAAGGCTCCAAACAATTTAAGTGCATTTTTTTGAACCAAAAATATTAGAAAGTACTTGGACTTGCAAACCTTTGGGTGTGTAAAAAAAGAAGAAAGGGACCAAAGAGAAAAACGCCCCCACAGTGGATTACAAGGTTATGGGACAGGTCACTAGGAAAGGGAAATAAAACTGAATGTTAGGTTGGGCTTGTAAATTATGCACCTTTCAGGAAAGGGGGTTTAAGGTCTCTTCACTCAAGGATTTTTTTTTTCCCCATCCATTTTGCTATTAATTCTTAACTCTTGGTAGACAGTTCTTTAATGAGGTTGTTTGTGGCAGGTTAATTTTCTCCAATCTACCAAGCTCCTCATTTTCCCTTTTAAGTGCACGGCTGCCTCGAGCTTTCAGAATTCACCATACTAGAAGAAAATAGCATAAGCCTGGTGAAGTTTCCTGGCTGGCCTGGGAATTGAAGGCGTTATACGGACAGATAAACAGAGGGCCTCAGACAGATGGGAGTGGGAGGGTAGAAGCCAGGCTGAGTTGAGGGCAAGAGGGAGAGAACTAGGTCTTAGGAGAGCAATGACCCTAGGAGTGTAATATATTAAATATTGCAGCGATCGATTTCAATACCCCAAGTGGACACGGGAATAAAAATTCACCAACAAGCTGAAGTGATTAGGAATGCTTTGTTGAGAGGGGAAAAATGTGATTTTCTTCAAATCCTTTTTGTTCAGGTTAGAAGAGGCCCAGACAATCCAAGTGTAAGCCCTAGACTCCCAGTTTGGGATATAACCCTAAAGGTTAGTCATATCTCAATGGCCCTTCTGCATAGTGGAAAGATGAGCTGTGTACCAAGGAGGATTAAATATCAGCCACAATTATGGGCTGGTGACTCTAGGAGCTTTCCCCCAAAATCAGAGAAGAGGACATTTTGGAGGGCTGTGCTTTTCCTGTGCACAGCCTTTGTTTCAGCTCTGGGACAAAGCTTTTGCTTGCACAATTCTTTCATTAAAATCTAGGCAAAAAAACCCACAATATGTTTTACAGAAGGTCAAATCTATTGTATAGTGGGATGTGAAAACAGCATTTGATGCTATGTAGGAGAAAAAGATTTTTGAAGTGTTAGTCTGGGGACAAATAACAAAACCCCCATACATATAGGTACAAATACCTGCTGCCACACATGATTTTGTTAGTGATTTCAGAATTGGGTAGGATTCCTGCTCTTAGTTATTCATGCCATGAACTGTGTTCTCTCTCGAAGTCTAGGAATCTGCTTAGGGATTTGGGGTAGTCACCATGGAGGCTGCTTGGAGCAGGGGGATTGTTTTCAGTCACAGCCTAATGGGCAAAGCCTGGGCTCTTCACACTGGGGACACCAAGTCTGCTGCTAGGGACACACTGCTGGATGCCTCCATGGAGCATCAGCAGCTACTGCAGCTGCCTCCTTCTTCAGTGGTGGGGCTACAAATCTGGGAAAGAAATGCTGCATCATACAAAGGATTTCTTTAATGAGGAAGAGTTCCTTAGATTGACAGTGAGCTAGGGCTGCTGCTCTGGCTTGTCCTTCCCTCCAAGAGAGCTTCTCTGACCCTTCAGATGCTTCTTTAAGGGTACTGGAAAAGGCACACACACACACACACACACACACACACACACACACACACACACACTGATAACCCAGAGGACAGTCATAGAGGGTGTGAGCCAAGCTAAATTTCAGAGTTGGGCAGAAGCAAAGGCCTCTTTCTCTTTCTTCCTCTCTCCTTCCTTCCATCCATCTATTCATCCATCCATCCGTCCACATACAGATCATTCCTTGTCTGCTATCAGTCTCTTCATCTCAGTGTGACTGGCTCTCACCTCTTACTTGCAGTATGGCCCCAAGGATCGGCTGTATTTTTGTGTGAGCATCTTCTTATCAGGGGATGGGTGGGGCAAGAGAAGGAACCCTAAACTCCTCCATTTCGTTAAATTTAATTCGGACTGACCATGGTGGGTTAAGGTTGAGACTGGTTGTGCAACAGAGCACTTATGTTCCTGCAGCTCAAATCTCCGAGGCTTTCTGTGGAGTGCTGAGTGGCTACAGGGAGGCTGTTATGTCCTATAAAGCTGTTTATCTCTCTTAAGCTACGATGGATCCGGTTCGATTCTCTTCAGGTTATGTCCAACCAAGTGCAGGTGTGAAATAACTCAAAGAAGTAACCTTGAAAAGCTAGTTTTGAAGCCTCTTTGGAGTGTGGGGAAGACTGAGGTGGGGGAATTTGGAGAAGAAAACAATGGCTCCATGGTGTGGACCGCTTTGACCAACTTCTGTTCTGTATCTCCCTTTTCAACTTCAGCTTGCCTCTCATCTTCCCTTCTTTCATCTTCTCCCTCTCTTTATTTTAAATCACGTGGGAAGAACATGTACAAGGCCAAGACGTGCGAAGCTGAAGCCAGGCTTGACTGCCTGGGAAGGAGGGAGAGGCTCAGGGTCTTCTGTGACTGTGGAATCTTTTGGAGAGAAGGGATCTCTTGGGGATGGGGGAAGAAGACATGTGGGTGGGGCCTTTACTCTCAGGTCACTGAGGCGCAGCCTCTGAGTCCATGGCCCAGCTCTGCAATGAAGCCCAAGGCCTGCTTGGTATAGGTACCTGTTGCTTGAAGTGTCTGAGGAATTTTTGGGTTCCTGACCTATTGTAAAGTCTTGGGGTTAGGTCCGGCTCCCCCTGGAGCTGCTGGATTCACCTGTCATTACGCTCACTGCCCAAAGTCCTTGACAAACCTCCACAATGTGTACTTCAACGAGGGCGCTTAAGGTTCACTGATCTGTATGTAGAACTTTGCAGATCTGCAAATAAGCGAGAAAATTTGCCTATTCTTGTGAAGGGAGACACAAGTTTGTGCTTAACAAGGAAGCATGAGAAAAAGAGGGGTGGAGGGAGGGCTTCTGGCCAAAAGCCCCACTGTAATCTCCAGAACAATTTCATTTCCTCTGCAGCACCCTGGCTACCCTGGCCCAGGCCTCACAAAGGTCAGGAAGGAGATGGAACTGAAGGATGGGGCGGGGAGGGGGAAGAGGCTAGGCAGTCAGTGGGGTCTCAGGTGAGGGCTGAGTTGGATGGTGCTGAGCAGGACGGGATGGAGGGCTGCAGGACAGGGGAGGAGCAGAACCACATCCTTTGGAAGGCTTTGGAGTCTTCCCGAAGCTTTTCCCTCAAGAATTGAACGGCCCGCCTCCGGGGCAGCTGGCCGGGCGCTCCCCCGCCCCTCCGGGCGGAGCTGGCGGCTGGGAGCTCGGGTTTCGGCTGCCCCCGCGCCGGCGTGCCGCCACCTCGGCGCACGGGCCTTTCCCGCTTGCTGAGAAAGGGAAAAGCGCGCTGTGCGCGGGCGGTGGCGGCAGCGAGTGAGTCTGCGCGGGAGCCGGAGCCTCCGGAGCCGGATCTTCCCCGGGAGCACAGCCGTGGAAAGCTCGCCCTGCGCGGGCTAGAGACCCGGAGTGGGGCGACTGCAGCCTTCGCCCCCTAGCCCTCCGCGCCCGGCAACGCGCCGTTAGCATCGACTAGCAGCCCGCGGAGCTTTGCCTCTGTCCTCCGAAGGGGAGCTTGGAATTTTTGAACCTTTTACTTTAAAGTGATTGATTACGTCCCACCCGAGAGGGGCTCCACCCTCCGTCCCCACCTCCGTCGCCTTCGCTTGTCACTTCGGCTCGAAGTGTGCGCGGAGGACGCGCGCGAGGGGTGCGTTTGGCGATGGGTGCTGCAAACGCCGGCATCCCGAGCCTGTGCGGCCGGCGCGCGTTTGCAAAAATTCCGATATGAGACTCCATCTGTGAGCACCCACAGCTAGTGGGCTGGTTCATGCCTCCTCGCCCACAACCCTGTAGGTGGACGTCACCATCGATCGCTTTCCCCTTCACCATCTGTCCCTGCACGCCTACCTCCCTGCATGGAAGCCCTCGCAGGAGCCGGGCTCCGCACTAGGATCCTTCAGGGAACTGAGGATAGAGGCTCAAGGCCTCTATGTATTAAGTTGATTATTAATTTGGGCTGTTCGGAGCTAGTAACTCTCTCGCCGCCTTGGGCTCTGGGAATTGTCACGAGGTGGGGACCCAGGCATGAATGACTGGGAAAAGCCAGTGGCAGAGGCTCCCTGACGCCAGAGTGGGTTGGGTAGAGTTACCTCCTTGGCCAAGCTTCCCTCTTCTTCGCTCCCAAATACATTCTTAGTTAACTGGTTGTAAACACATTAGTGTTATTAAATAGATGAAACAGAGGGGGTTGGATGTGGGGGCATGTCAACTGGACCACGGCTCCCGTGATACTTCCCCAATGACAAATCAGTGTGCTTCCAACACGAAGATAGAAATGTAACATTCAACTGGACGAATTAATTTTTGACAGATTTACGGTATGATTTTCTTTCAAGCGGTATTCATAGGTTCTTTCTATCCAGAGTGCGAGCCAAAGACAGAAGTATAAACAAGTGCTCTCTGCCTCGCGGAAGCCCCTTAACAGTATCTCCCAAAGAAAGATCAAGACACTTTGTGAATTTTCCCTAGATAATGCCTCATATTCCGAATGACTGATCAGAGAACTCTGGTATTGTTAAATAAAATGAGAGGAAGGCGAGTGACGTGGGAGCTGAACAATGGCATTTCTGAATCAGTTTGCTTGATTGACATTTGGGAGCTTCATGACCCCAGGGAATAGGACTCATTATGGTGAATACACCAAAACATCACCCAAGATTAGAACTCTAGATCCTGTTTTAATCCCATTTCAGCCTAAATTATAGTGGGAAAATATAAGATCCTAGAGAAGAAAACACCCTCATATATATGGACCTCGAGTTTTAATTGTAAAGGGGAAATAAAAGTGTGAGAGTGAACTACTTTTTCCAGCACTTAGGACTGGGGCTGACAAGGAGAATGCATGGTTGGTATGGTAGGTACTAAATATGCTTGCCTGGAAGAAAATACTTCATACTTACTTGGGGAGACACCTTAACTGGAGGAATATGTAGGAAGGTTTTCTTTTTTCTTTGTATATATGCGGAAAATATCACATCCCCTTTGCACTGGTTAAAAAGTGAGGGCCATCAGCAAATTCATGTGAGAAATAACCAGATATTTTAAAGCTAGAGTCTAAATTCCCATTATTATTTGGAAGACTTCCTTATTACTTTGGAGAGGATTTTTATATTAATGCCAAAAGTTGTGTGTGTTAACACTAAATTTAACCCAGGAAATTGTGAGAGCTGTTTCTCAATTCATGTTGGAAAAGAGGTATGTGTTTTGCAGTCTGTTTTAATAACCGAAAAGTGTGAGCTACAGCAGGCTGTGGGCTTGCTAAGAATCTCATCTATGGCAACTTCATTGTACAGAAATTTTGATTCTTCAAATCTTAGAAATTTAAAATACTGAAAGACTTAGAATTGTGTATCAAGTTGAACCAACCGACTACAGAAAGACAAAGTGGTGAGAGAAGATACAGTTATATTCTTGTATTTTAGAAGGTCCTTACAACAAAGGAAAATGTAACAGGATATGAAATAGGTTTGTTATAAATAAAGGAAAGAATTGCTACTCAATATAGCTTTACCATCATTTTGAGGGGTTTTCATGCTGCATGGGAACTGGGGGACTCATAAGAATTATTTTTTGCAGCAAGAAGGAACTAAAATTAATTATTAGGAGCTCAGTAATCACCAAATAAACTCTGAGCTTTGAGGTTAAAAATAGACTATTCTCATGTTCAATTATACAGTATCAATTACTAATACAACTGATGTTTCAGGGTCTCAGAGCGAACAGATACCATCTTCTATGCAGATACCTTTATTAATTAATGACTTCTTTATTCTCATTATTCACGAGGAAAAAAAAGGGTCATGTCACATTAAAATTTAGATTATCTTAGTTTATCTGGGCTCTTAAACAAAGATCATTCAAACTAATTATATTTTGAATTAACAGTGGTAGGCAATTTATCGCTTTATTTTTTTGTTCAAAGACAGGAAAATAAAGATCAGAAATAGGCAAAGTTTCATTCTGGAAAGAGAAAGAAGCAGAGGTGTCTTGACTTTTGCAGTATTTCCCTTGCTAACGGGGGAACTGTAAAAGACGTGACTTTGCAAAGTCAAGTCCTTTTTAAAAGACTCGGATCGAAATTCTTGCTATGCAACAAGGATTCAAGTTTGATTAATTTTCTGCGAGCGACGTGACAGCGGTGTTTTAAAAGATTAATTAAAACTGAAGTGATACGGAGCAGGAATTCAACCTGCAGAGCCCGTCCCTGGCGCCTTAGGGGGCTTTGCCAGCGAGTCCCAAACCCGAACCTCGGGCTTTCTCAAGCCTGGGACGCAATTCCTCGTCTCTAAGAGAGGAACGCGGAATTTGGCAAGGCGCCCGTCTGGCCGCCTGGCATCCCGAGCTGGCCGCCAGCTCTCGGGGGTGGGGATGGGGTGTGTCCCGGGGACCAGCCACGGACCGCTCAGCAGCGCGCCTTTAACCAGCCAGGGAGGACCTGGGTCAAGCCCAGAGCGGGAGGGGGCTCCCGGAAGCGGGCACTGACCGCCCGGGCCCTCGCGACTCCAGCGGAGTACCCCGCCCCCGCCCCCGGGGAGCGCGGACGTGCGGTAGCGCAGGGCGTGTAGATGGTACAGGGTGGAGGGTCGTCCACCGTGGAGGCTGGGGATGTGCCCCGCCGGGCTGCGGCTGCTGGGCCTGGGTGAGCCTGGATAAGGGTCCCTCGGCCTGGGCCACGTCCTCCCAGCCCCCAGCTCTCTGCAATTTCTCGCTCCAGCTCCCCTCCCCCACATCCCCGTCCCCTCGCGTTACTCCCGGACGCCTCAACGCGACTAAGAAATTAAGCTGAACACAATTGCAACTGTCCTCAGGAAGATACAATCGCCGGAGCCCTAGGGGTCGCGCGCGCCGGAGGAGCGACGCGGGTGGCACTGCCGAGGGTGGGGCTGGTGGGGGGAAGAAGAGGACGTTCGCTAGCGGGGAGCGTCTCCGGGGCGCGAACCACGCTACCCCCAACTTGGTCCCCATCGGGAGTGGCGGCCTCGCGCCCTAGTGCCCGGACTAGGCGCTCCAGGGTCCCACGGCCTCGGGTGGTCCCAAGAGACCCGCGGCGACGTGGGGAAAGCCCTTCCCGGGCGGCGAGAGTGGGCCCGAAAGGGTCCCCGGGGGTTCTCTGCACCGGGAGGACCCGGGGTTTCTCCACCCCCTGGCGTCCGCCTTTACCCATCCTCCTCCGGGAGACCCGGGAGGTGGCGAAGTGGAAAGGGAGGCGGGAACGCGGTGGAGACGGAGCGGGGGTGGGGGTGGGGAAGGAAGGCGAGTGCACGGGGGACCCCTCCTGCGAGGGCTGGGCCGGGGACGCGGGGACCACTCGGCCCTTCCGCGGGCAGTAGCGGCTTCTCTTCCCGGGAACCCCCACCCAGCCGCTCCCAACCTGGAGAACAAAGGGTCTGGGCAGCTCGGTCGGGGTCGGGGGACGGAGGTGGAGGGAGGCAGGAAGACGGCGGAGGGCCTGAGGGGGCAGGGGGGTGCCGGCCCACGTTTCTTCTCCTGGCCGCTTGGTGGAAAGCTCCATCCTGTGAACGCCCTGCGGAGGCCGCTTCTGAGTCCGGGAGTGCTCGGGTTCCTTACCTAACGGCTGCACTCACGCCCTTCCTCCCTCAGCATCCCCACCCCCTCCCGGGATCTTGGGCCTGGGAGCCGCTGAGCCGCCGCAGCCAGGAGCGGGCGGAAACGCGGGGCAGCAGCGCCCCCTGCAGGTGTCGGGCGCCTCCGCAGCCCCTCGCCGCGCCGGTCCTTAAGGTGGAACGCGCTCATTCCCCACCGCGCGAGCTGCCGGGAACATCCCGCAGCCCTAGCTCCACGCGCTCTCAGGGTCTCCCCAGGCGACCGGGCCTGACCATCCGGAACCACGGAGACTGCCGCTCTCTGCTGCTAGTTTCCGGTCCCTCGGCCCAACACCCGCAGGATCTCTTCCGGATGCCCCGCTATCGATCCGGACACACACTGATCATCCCCTGCCGTTTAAGAGGATGCTTAAAATCTCGCGTCCGGGCGGTAAGACCATAACGGCAGCTCTCTAACTGGAAAGCAAACTTTTATATTCGTTTATGAAACGAAGAAGGCCAGCAGCAGAGGGTCTCCAAGGACTGACCAGAGCCTGGGTATTTTAGATCTAAATGTTTGAGAAGAGACTCGTGGACAGGTGCTCGCGGACAGTACCCCGTCAGGCCTGGGGACCGCGCCCCAGGGTCAGTCTGCTGTTTGGATGTCTTGTCCTTTTCTTTTTTAGGTTTTGTTCTTGAACCGAGGGGTACATGCGTGACTCGGCGTCTTTGGGCAGTGCCCTCCGCGAACTCCAATTCTTGGAGGGAAACCTTGAGCAGAAGAACAAAGCAATCCATTCGGCGTGGACTGGCCGAATTCTCTCTCTGCACTTTCTCGGTCCGGGAGGTGCGTCCCCCGGTCGTCCCAGGACTCCCGTACAGTCCGGGAAGCGGGTTGCAGGCGCAGGGGGAAAGAGAGCAGGCTGCCGGCGCTGGGCACGCGGATCCTCCGCTGCGTGGGAACTCCCCTCCCCCTGGGCACACGGCCTGGGCTCCACCCCGCTGGGTGGGGGGCCGAGTGATCCCGGAGTTGGATGCTGGCCCTGGAGAAACCGAGTCCACGCGCGGGCGAAGCTCCCCTGGGCAGGTGCCGCGGGGTCAGACCCGCCCGGGGGTTGCAAACCGCAAGCGAAAGTCGAGAAGGGCTGGAGCTTGCCCACTAATCCGTTTTACTCTATGAAAACCGCAGGCATGTCGCCTAGGAGGCCACTTTTTAATTCGCAAGCAAATAGACGGGGGTGAGGTGGGGGACGGGGGGGGCGGGGACCCACACAAAATAAATGCGTGAGCACACAGTGCACTTCCTGTCCTGGGGTGTTTGATGTTGTTTGGTTGGGGTTTTAGCGGTTTGTTTTGTTTTGTAAAGAGAGAAACTGATCTGCGCTCGTGCTTGCTGGGGGTATCTGGGCACCTAGGGGTGTGGCGGGCTCGAGGTACACCCCACAGCCCAGACTGTGCCACTCTGCTCGGGCCTCCCAGACTTCCCGGTTCGCTGCTTTGTACTGACATCCCGCCTCTCCAAGGGTCAGTCGACGCCACGTGCTCCAGGCCAGCGGGATCTCGCGCTTTCTCCCTGGGATCGTAGTGCAGGTGTCATCGTTGGGGGATTGGCATGCCCAGGACGTTAAGGTTGTTGGCGGATTTATGGGAAGAGTAGGGAGTTGGGTTGGCTTGCAGTGCAGGGTCTTTGAGGATCTAGGTCCAAGAGGAGCAGACTGTCACTAGTCCCATAACTGCCCTTGCGGGGGTGGGAGTATGTAGGGGACAAGTTACTAGGAATCACATTATGCAGCGACCAGGCAAGCTCTCAGACTCCGGGTGCCCCACGCCCTGGGGTGTGGGTGAGGGGCCAGGTGGACAGAGTCCTGAGATGGTGGCTTAGTGGCTGTCTCTTTCCCACGATCCTGTGTTAAAGGTCTTAGTTAGGATTTTTCTCTTTTTATCAACTATATGCTCATGGAGTTTGAAAGGATGGTAAAAGAAAGCCAGAAGGATGATCCTGATTTTAAAAAGAACCAGGAAAGATTACTTGGTGAAATTGTGGAGAGGGAAGGATGGATGGAGAAGATGGTTAACTTCTTTGTTTTTTGAAAGCTAGAACTTTCAAAATTCAAAATTTTTGGTACCGCTCATACCCCTCATTAATTCATTTTTTAAAGCATTTGCTGTGTTGAATAAAGTTTTCAGAAAGTTCTCAGTCCCTGTATGAAGCTCATCTAATTTTGATTTAAAGCAAATTTGAGATAAAAATTTCCAAACAGAAAATACAGGCTTTTAGTTTCTCTGGTCTATTTTTGAGTAAGAGATTTTTATAGTAAGAAGTCTGTAGAACAACTTCCCCTCATATTCTGTCACCAAAGAAGGATCTTGAGTTCTCTTTATCCCCTTCCCATTAATAAATTGCAGTGAGATAACCTCTTCCGTTTGTGGTATTCTATTCTTCACTGGCTTGTTTGTTTTCTCATATATGAACACACACAGACTAGCATAAATGTGATTTGACAATCTGGGTCTATATTTAAGTTTTCATTGAAGTTGACCTATGTTCTTCCCTTTTATACGATTTATTAAAGGTCTTTGGTAAGCAAATAAAATGAATATTTTTACTCTGAATTCATGTCTTTGTAATTAAATGGAAAAATGACATTATTGAGCTGCTTGAGCCATATTTATGTATCAAAATATTAAGCCATAGTTTCAAATGTTCAGAATGATGGCTTCCCATTTTTAGTCATATTTTGGCAAAGCTATTTCTTAGTAATTGAAAATGGCTAACCACTGTGTACATTACATAAAGATAGGCTTGTTCACTGTGCTGTGTGCCACCAACAACTTAAAACTATCTGGTTCAAATTACTTAAGTAATGCCCACTGAAGGAAAGGCTGGAAAATTAGAAACTTTGCAATTACTGTGCTTTTGCTCTTTTATTAAGTTTTAATTAAATTTAATTTTTGTGGGGGGAAAAACCCAAAACAATTCAAGAACCCTTTAAATGGTCTTATAAAATAATATGTGATTGTTATTTTTTTAAAAAATGTATCCTCAAAGGGATATTTTAGTGAAAATAGTTGAATACAGATACAATTATTAAGTGTTTTCTCTCCAGTGATTTTTTTTCTCTCTCAACTTTAATAAGACACATAAAACTCCAGATCATGCATTTTAATTTGTTCCAATCAAAGGAAAACTGATGCTGATTTCTCAGAGCATCTTAGTTATCAGAAGTGACAATGCCAAAAGCCTTTGATAAGCCTTGCTTCCTATGTCATTGTCTATGTGAGATTCCATCATAGGAAATATGCAAGAATATTATATTTGCTCCAGAAGCTTGAAAATACAATAGGAGTTGAAGTACTGAAAATATGATTCCTGGTTTGACAATATCTTAGAAGTGACCAAGGTATCTCTTTTTGAAATGACTTTAATAATGTCAGAGAGGAAGGAAGGATTTCAACACAGGCAAGCTATGATGAATGTACACAATGAAGCTATCGACAAAACATGCTAACTTTTGGAACTCTATCTAAATTATTATTTTTCGTTGCAGTGCAGAGGAGGAAGATGTGAAAGTGTATCAATGCTCATCAAACACAGGGTAATAAAAATGTGAGTGACAGTTAATGGCCTGTGACTGTAATATGATGTTAGCGTAGGTGAGCGAAAGCACTGGAGCATTTGTTCTTGTTAAAGGAAGATCAGTGGTCCACAGTGGTGATGGGTAAAGTCTGCAGAAAACTGAGACCCTGAAGGGGACAGGAGAAAGAAGGCTAAAAAAGAATAGCGCAAATTTCATAATTAAAAAAAATTTGTTTTCTGTTCTAGTCAATTGTTCCTGCTAGCTATTTAGATGAAATAAATGGAATATCACTTAATAGGCAGAGGCGCTGATACAATTTCCTCTCAGAAAGATCTGATTCCTAGCATCTGAAGGAAACGAATTCAAGTTAGTATTAGAACTTGAATTTGTTCTGCCAGAGTGAAAATTGCTTCCATTAGGCATCAGTCACAGAACTCTTTCTGACCTGGCTAGCGCTGTGACTATGAAATATCCAACTAGCTGAAACAATAAAGTCTTAAATAGTGCTGGATGTGCTCTGGGAAACCATCCCAGGGGTTTTAATTTTTTTTTTCAATGAAAGTTTCCTAATTTTACAGTCATTGTAAATCTGGACCAAGTATAATTAAGGTAATCAGGGGGGTGAAAATCTAAAGGAGCGACCATTTAGAGACACATGACAGATAAGAATAACTTAAAACATGAAATATTCTGTTGTGTGCAGCCAGCCTTTCACTAGACTCTGCCCTGAGCATTTTTTCTTCCTCAGTTACCCATACTTCTGTTTCCTTCTGGTTGCAGATTGATAGTTCTCTGGGGAACCCCCCTGGAAAAAGTAATATATCAAACAGATAGACTATCCAAAAGCTTAAAAGTTAGTGTCTGACTATACAAATAAAAATCTAAACAATAGCTGCAAAAAAGCAAGCAGGCAAGCAAGAGAGAAAATTACTCTTATCTTGGATGATCAAGCATGCCCAGTATGAAAAGAGGAATGAAAAAAATATACATGACATCTAAAAGTTCGTAGTTTGGGGACTGTCAATATACTTTATTTGGGAGAGTCCTTTCCTGGCATACAGGAACTCTGGGCTCCATCCCCGGCACCACATAAACCTGGGTGTGGTAGTATATGTCTGTAGTCCCAGAACTAGGGCGGTTAGAGGAAAGAGGACCAGAAGTTCCAGATCACAGTTTGAGGCCAGCATGGGATACATGAGGGAAAAAAAAAAAAAAAGACTTGTATGTAAGCATATTTTTTCATAAATAGGTTGATTAGAAATCCTGGCATATTATTTTAATGAAAATATTTGATGGCTTTCATGAAATAATTTATTATAAGAATTTAAAAATTACTAATGAGAAATAGACTATTCAACTCAATAGAAAAGTGGTATAATTTTATATTTCAATTTTTTTAAATATATTTTTTATGTGTACAAGTGTATTGCCTGCATATATGTGAGTGTACCTGTGTTGTGCAATGCCATGGAGGTCAGAAGAGGGCTTCGGATTCCCCTGGAACTGGAGTTAAGGACAGTTCGTAGCCACCCTGTTGGTGCTGGGAATCAAACCTGGGTCCTGTGCAAGAGTAAGTGCTCTTAACTGCTGAGCCGTCTCTCCAGCCCCCCAAAAAGTGGTACAATTTTAAATTCTCTTCAATTTATTACACAAACTTATTTTTTGTTATGCTTTTGAGTAGATAATTTGTGAACTTACTATTTTGGCAAATTTATTATTTTATATGTTTTGCTTTATTTCCTTGCTAACAAATGCTCCTAGCTAATAGTACCAAATACAGTAATCATAATATCTCATAGGTAATGTTTTGGCACAGGATAATTCGGAAAGAAAGCTTACTTTGTGTGTGTGCGTGTGTGTGTGTATGTGTGTGTGTGTGTTGCAAACTTACTTTTAAAAAATATTTTATGTGGCCGGGCGTGGTGGCATACGCCTTTAATCCCAGCAGTTGAGAGGCAGAGGCAGGTGGATCTCTGTGAGTTCAAGGCCAGCTTGCTCTACATAGTTCCAGGACAGCTGGGGCTACAGGGAGACCCTGTCTCAAAAAGAACAAAAAAAAATTTTTTTTAAAATTATTTTTATTTTATGTGTATGAGTGTATTGCCTGCATACACTGTGTCGTGCAGTGCAGCAGAGTTCAGAAGAGGGCTTCGGATTCCCCTGGTACTGGAGTTAAGGATGGTTTGTAGCTGCCATGTGGGTGCTGGGAATCGAGCCCTGGTCCTCTACAAGAGCAGTCAGTGCTC